AAATATAACACAATTCCCCAGTGCTTGTGTAGGCTTCTGAAGCCTTGTGGCTATGTCATCATTTTAGTGATAGGAAAAGCTTTAGCAACGAAGCGATTTTTAGGACACAAAATTAGAAAGGTTGTTGCGTAGTTTCGCTGCAAAGAATATGGTTGCCTATTGATGCTAATTTCCCTTTAAAATTTACCCACGAAGTCGCGTATGTAGTGTAAAACAAGAGATCTAGTCTTATGTGGTTTATGGGTCTAACTTGTTTGCATCTTAGTCCAGACATCCACTATTCGATACCTACTGGGTTGCTAATAAAACCTAGGAGAGGTTGAATAGCCTTATGAGACATACTTCAAAGGTCTAATTAACTAGAAGAAGCGAATATTTACCTTAATTCATCATAAACACACTCGTTATCAGTCCAAAAAATAACCAGTGGAAACTCGTATACCTCGGCAAAACCCGGCCTTCGATAGTTTAGAAATCATGAAGAGTCGTATAAGTCCTAGGAACTTGCACTTCAAGTACCTTATAGTAGCAGCCAAAGTCGCTCAAGATGTTACGATTACGGATAAGAGCACAAGGCCTTAAACCCCATTGTAACCTATTTCACATGGTCTAGGTTAGTGATATCACGGGTGCGAAATATTGGTATATTCATTGTTTATTTATGTCAATTCCAGTCCACTACTAACGCCATCTATTTTGCATAAGAAAGGAATAAGGAACAAGTACGGAACAACTGCTTTCCAGAACAGAGTGAATGTAAATAGGAATAGGTGATGATCACATCTAGTAGTAACAAAATTTATCTACATATATTATAAGAGAAAAATGACTGGGGATTCTTCTTAGCATATGCTGAAATTAATGGAACAAATTCTAAACTACCAACTAGAGGATCATCAATGAGGTATCGACTTAAGTGATGCCATCGAACTCAGACTGACCTTTAGGCTGCTATTCTGCCATTAGTGCTAAGCTATATGAATAATTATCCAACTAGGGCAGATATGTCGAATAAACTGAGTGATAAGGTATGGACATAATTAGAAGAAAACTGGTTTATGGAGCTGGTAGTTTGCATCGTTTTAAGGGAAGAATAGGAGGGCAGAATGCAGGGATAAGGCTTGGCTAGCGATACAGTGGGAACAGCTGCAAAAGTGATGATGCTTCACTAATTAGTAGTCCAACTTTTGTTATAAATCTTGGTTGAAAGTCGGACTAAAGAGTTAAGTCCTGCATAGGGCAAACAGGGAAGAGGATGATGAAGCACTAAGTGTTAAGCACTTAGATATGAATTGAGGAGAAAATGCTTGTCATGCTCGTTTAAAGGACTTTTGGTCGATGACCTTGTTGATGTGTTGTGTTTGTTGCTGAGCTTTGATTTCTTCACTTACATTGTCCACTACTTTATCATTGTAATGTCACATGTCTAGTCAATGGCTAGTTGTTAGAACTTATTGTTATAATGATAGGAGTATATTTTCTGAAGTCTTCTTGAAAACACGGCCAAGCCTTGCCATAACTATTCAGTGTCTCAGCATTACTACTCTCAGCTGAAACTTTACTAACTAGTGCTATATTCAAATGTATAATCTTTCATCATTAAACGATTTATTCTTTTGCACAGAGTGGCCGAAAAGATCTACCACATAATCCTTCTCAGGGGTACTGGTTAGGTGACTGCTTGCCTTCAAATGCTCTATCACCAATTACTCTGGCATCAAGTCTTGGTTCGGCTAGCTTTTGCTCCCCCACTCCAGCCATCAGCGCATCTCATCGGGCTAATAACCTTCCATTCTCTGGCCTACCCAATCTGGCCAATCACCATCTCGCCGCTTCCATTGATAGATTAGACCCATCAGTTACGACAACGGCTGTCAAAATCCAGGAAACCTGTCCTGATTGGGCCAGGCCGACCAGCTCTCAAACCAACGAGGGAGCTAGGCCGGTACTGCTACGCTCAGCTTCCTTCTTGATATCGAATTCACATCCTTGCCAGATGGTGGCTGATAAAGAATTGACTCCATTCAGATCACATGAGGAAGAATCCGGAGCTGGTGGAAACTGTGTATGTAAGACGGTGGCCCCAGGGCTTGAAACCAGCGCTGACTGTGTCAAGTGGAAAGATTTCACTGGGAGGAGACAGAGGAGACGAGCTTCTGAAGCCTCATCAGTAGCTTCACAGCGAGCCATTAAAGCTGCTACAACTGGGTTGCAGGTAATTTATGTGCCATTTTCCGTTTATGAGTATGTTTGCGAGACTATCAGTAGATCTTATATTCACCCCATTTCGTTTAAGGCGATGAACGACTAATAGTTGACTGACATGAGTAGACCATACGTTTTTATTGAATCTCACATAGCCATGCTTCCAGAAAGGTATTCTTGTCCATAATGGGCTTCAGCTGGGGCTGCAAAACCCACATGACGTGAACTCGGCTAGTGCAGCGTAGTCTCAACAGTAACGACTCCGCCGCTAGCGATCTAATACATTACTTATTTTCCGTTTATTCGTAAGTTTTTTTGACTACCATTGGATCTTATATAAGAAGTGTTTTCACTATTTTGTTTAAGTTGATAAAGAACTGGTAGTTAAATTTTCCAACAATATTTAGAGCTCTCATGTAAGATTTAGTGGTAGTCTCGAAAATCCACTTATAAACGTAAAACAAGTAATTTAGTCGATCGTAATAGAACTTTCCTTCATCGAAAATCCCACCACGAAATGTGATGCGGGAAAGGCCTAGACTTGCTTGAAATCTACGTCTACCGTGTGACCCAAGTCAACTCGTGGCCGGATGACGTAGTAATTAACGTGTCGCGACTATACACTACACTACTCGTATTCGAGTTCAGCTGGAGGTGCTAATGAAGTCGAAACTGCAGTCCACTCTGGATGAAAATACCTTATGAAAGGCGAGGCTGTGGAAAGTTTAATGGAAACGTAGAGCCTACTCATATCGCCGTGGGAAAATTCCATTACCAATCCTTCATCACCTCTAACGAAATAGGGTGAATGCAACTCTTAATGCACGCACCAATTTCTTAAAAAACACTTAACTGTTTCCTATAATTCTTTTAATGAAACTGTTTATATTATCACTTATTTAACGTACCGCCGTTATCCACTAGCTCTATCCATGTTCTCTATTTTAATTATAATGGATAAATGATTTGAAAGAAGATACCGGGGCTTGTATTCTACAAAACCTGAAAAAGGTTATTGCAGCCAAACATTAGTGCCTTGTTGGATGTGTATTTTATTAAAACTTAGACACTAGGTTGCATAAAGTGATAAGAATTGATAGCTGAATTTTCCCATAATTATATGACCATTCCCCACAGTGCCCTCGGATTTATCCTAGCCCTGTCTCCCACAAGGCTTTCTAATACAGGGCGGATTGCAGTTTCGACTCCATCTTTAACACACCTAACGGGATTCGAAACTGATTCCTGTGCATCGTGATTTTAATGACTTGCCACTTTCCTCTAAACTTTCCAAGCTTACTTCTATTTCGAGTGTAATTGCGTGATGAAGAGATTTAAAGGTCGATCTCACCAAAAGACGATGATAGATTTCTCTTATTCAGCTATCGGTTGACTTCACTGGAACACTTTTGTCGGTAATGTCCCATTGGCAATCTCCTTCTATTCCAGTGAAAAAGTGCTGCGCTTTCGAATGGGGAATTGAACTAGAAGCTACTCCGCCTACCATAGATAGCAAACTAGCATTTGAGACAAAAAAGGAAGCAATGATTTTGAAGAACAGCATAATATACGGAGATGCAGGAGAATCAAGAACAGGATTATCTGATATATTAGCAAAGTACTTTTTGGCGCGAATCAGAGCTTTGTATATTTTGCTTCAATACATGAATATGAATATCGAGGCCAACAAATGGACTATGAATACGTTTTAAGAAATTCAATACTACCGGCAGCATATGGGCAACATAAAATAAACAAATGAGATACTCTCAGTAAACATCGAAAATTATGAAATGCATAAACTATAGGAATTCATTTACAATGAACCATGGAATATGAAAGAGTATAAGCAATGCGGGGAATTTATGTGATTTTTAATCTGAGGCGAAATAAACGGTTGCCAAGGCATTATGGGGATAAGGGATATGGAATGTGATGCCATAGATTAAATGTATCATCCATCTTATTATTTGTGATAAGACAACATGCATTCCAAATATATACGAAGAAAATTTGTGTTATAAAAGTGTTTTGGCTTACAATTGTAGAGGTGTCTTCACCCTTATTTAGTTTAAGGAGTTGAAGGATTGATAGCTGAATTTTCCCATAATAAGTTAAGCCTTACGTTTCCATTAC